ATCCCCTCACACTATTTTTAAAGTGATTATTGTCTTCACTATAATATTGTAAGAATTTTGACAATTTACCTTTAGGATTCAGTTTTGGCATCCAAAGAATTGTAGATGGTACTCCTAAAATTCATTTTAGAAAATTTCTTTTGAAGTTGTAGAATTTTAGAAAGAGAAGAATTTTGAGAGGAGGATTGCAGAAGAAAGAATAAATGTGATTTGCCTCGTGTAGTATTCTCCATTTATAGTTACTAAAGCTTGAAAACTAAATTCCTCCATTTATAGTTTACTAAAGCTTAAAAAACTAACTCTCACAAAAAAAAAAATTAAAAATATAATTAATTAATATAATTACGAATTTAATTAGATTACAAGATGAAAATAAACCTAAAACTTCTTAATCACACTATGTGATTGTATATAGATATATATACATATATTTACTTACTTTTTTTTTTTTTTAACAAATCCTTCTAAATATTTGAAAAGTTTCAAGGTCAACTTTATAAAGTGTTTCTTTTTTCACTCCTTTTTAACGTGGGATTAACATTTCATTTTAAAACTATCACTTTTAAACTTTCTTCAACACATCTAATTTATTATCCATCAAAACCAAGATTTCTAAAATAATTGTCCATGACACTGTTACAAAGTTTACCTTCAATTTCTCTAGTTCATAGCTACATTTTTATGTTCTTCAACTTTAAGTAGTTCAAACTTTTAGGATGGAATGATCTTAGGATCCCATCTTTGCTCAATTGTATGGCTGAATATTTCTGGCTCTTCCAGTTATCTTGCCCAATAATAAAATTTTAATTTTGCATCATCTATTTCCAAATTCAGAACCCCAAAAAAAAAAAAAAAATCAAACTCGTTAGAATGGAATGATTTTAGAATCCCATCTTCGCTCAATCAGTCGCTGTTTGGATGCTTCTCAGCTCGTGTATCACTTTTAGGGCTATATATTGATGTAAACTCCTCTCCAACGAAATCCTTTTTAACGGATCGATCTGTACTTTTGTTTTTCTGAATGGGATATAATGCTTTCTCTGATAGGGAGATTTCGAGTTATAACCTCTATGTCGTAACTTAAAAAGGGTTTACCCTTGTTTTTTTCGAATGGATATAACACTTTCTCAGATAGATAGATTTCAAGTTATAACCTCTATGTCGTACCTTAAAAAGAAAAAAACATCATTATTATAACACCTGATTTAATGTCGTGTTGGATATAACCATGAACCGACAGCTTTTACATGAATAAGTAGTTGAAAAATAAATTAATTAGAAGAAGGAAATATATATATATGTTCTTTCAGGTGCGTGCATCATGGCCGTGAAAACCACGAGCAGGGTATCATCATTGTGATTGCTTGAAAAAACTTGTATATTCTTATTTATAATAGACTAATTAAATATAAATAGACATCTATAATGATTACCTCCTGATTTTTTATTTGATTAAAAAAAACCTTTTGCGTCATTTATAAAATCAGAGCAAATGATAAATTTTAATGAAAATGTTAAAGCATTTAGAAGTTTTTTTTAATGAACTACAAACTAAATTCAAAATCAAGAACCCATCAATAAATATATTTTAAGGACTGAAATGAAATACTTAAATACTATAAGAACTAAGATGGAAATGTACAAAATCTGCACGGCTACAGTCCTTCAAACCCATCAATTTACAAATATACTAAACTAATGTAGAAAAGTTATCCTTCAATTCAAAGTTCACTACGATTATACCAAACCCAATCTCATTAACGTGCCAGGTGTCAAATTAAAAAAAAAGCCACGTATAAATAAGATAGATATCCCTGACCATGTCCACATACTGTACAGTGTAGATTCTTTTTTCGCAACCTATTTTTATGCATAACATGATGAATAAAGCTAATAAAATATAGCTCAAATATTTTTATTTGATTTTGGTTTCTTTTTTTATTTTATTTTAATTACTTTGGTACTTTTTTTTCTAATTTTTTAATTCAAAATTTTAAAGTGAAAAGATGTTTAGAAATTTTTTTTTTACAAAATACGGTTTTAGCTTAAAAAATATGGATAGAGATAAATTAATAAATTTTTAATAAAAAATTTATGAAAATATAACAAAATAATTAGTCAAATATAAAATTTTAATTAAAAAATAATAAAATTAAAAAAAAATTTATTTAATTTTGATTTGATATATTTTAATAGATGTATAATATAAAACGAAACATCAAAATAAAATAATTTTTTTAAAAATAATCTTACGTATTAAACCATCGTAGCAAAATTACGAGTAAAAATACTAGTACTAAACTATCGCAGCAAAATTATCCTCCAATTCAAAGTTTGCTAAGTTACGAATATACCGAACCCAATCATATTAATGTGCCACGTGTCAAATAAAAAAAGCGACGTATAAATAACATAGAGATCCCTGACCATGTCCATGTACTGTACAGTGTAGATTCTTTTTTCGCAACCTATTTTTATGCATAACGTGATGAATAAAGCCAATAAAAAATAGCTGAAATGATAAACCAGCTTATCATCTAAGCCTAAGCCTCCAAAGGAAGAAATTTTATAATTGATTAATGATGCTCTGTCCATTTATTTTATGATTTTGTACTTTTTTTCAATAATAGGTATGTTTTTTAATCTATTTTCGTACACTTCAAGATTAATTCATTTCTAAACATGATTAAGAAACATTTTTTAATATCTGATTTCAGATATTATGAGAATAAATTAACAAAAGTATTAGTTGCAAAAATTAAATTCTCGATTTGATCTATAAATTGACGTTTATTTATCCGTAAACTATCATAATATAATTTGTGATTTTGTACTTTTCGTTAAGAAGAGGGGAAAAAAAATACTTACTTTTCTTGATAAAAAGAAAGAGCAGCTCCCATGCGAAGGATAATTTTTTAAGAGAAACTCTTCATTCTTGGGATCAAGAATTTTGTAATTTAGTGCTTTAGGTCGTAGCTTAACGAAACGAGAGCTTACCCCTCGAGGATCATCCGAGTTCGACTTTCTCTGTGCACGTCCGTCCTCGCGGTGCCTTATATGTTCACCGAACTTGCAGGGTGTTCGATGAGGCTTCGGAGATTAGTCGAGGTGCGCACAAGCTGAGTCCGAACATCCCGGATTATAAAAAAAAAAAAAAAAGAATTTTGTAATTTAATTTATAAACACCAACCGAAGTGGCATCTGTTTGGAATCACAAGCATCATAATCAAGATTGAGAGCTAAATTTTTCTTTAAGTAACAAACTACTTAAAGACTGCAGAGAACCGTAGGTCACACAACTTATAATTAAAGTAGCTATAGGTTACCAATCTATCTTTCGCGGCTCTAGCACACAAAGACTACTTGAAAAGGCAGGCAGAAATTAATAGTAGAGAAGATGGAGCTAGAAAGAACTTTTTTTTTTTTTTTATTGCCAGATCGATGGTATATATTTGTTGAGATAGTTTTTTAATTATCAGATAGTAATCCAATCCAAAAAAAGAAAAAAAAGAAAGAAAGAAAGAATGTTAGAATGCATCATTTCCTGTGAGATTTAGTTCTAGGAACAAGAAGAGTAGCTGACTTTCAAGAGCTTGCAGCCTTGGGCTTTGAAAACCCATATATCTGCTAAAAATCAATCACAGAACAATAAATAGTTCATGATTCCCTCTACTGTATTTGTGACAGTAGCAAAAACTTACCAAAAAAAAAAAAAAAAAGAAACACTATTGATTTAAAAACTCACACACAAAATTCATATATTTATCTATTATAATATGTTGAATTGCATACAAATATCAAGAAATAAGTTTTAAATTTTGATGATTCAAAGAATACCTAAAATTGGGATAAAATTGAGATGCTCTTTCATAAAATTTTATTAACAGAAAAAAACTCTTTTTTTTTTTTTTCACCTCCAAGTCATATAAAAATAGAAAATTAAGTCCAAAACCTTAAACTAACTCAAAAGGAAAATAAATATAAAAATCCAAAAAATAAGAAAAACAGTAAAATTCAATTTTGAGAGCCTAAACGGTTTTATTATTATTTTTTTTTATTTTTTTGCTAAAATCACTCATATTTCATGTCAAATTGATGAATTTAACTCGTTTGACCGTTTGACATCGAATTAGACTAAAAAAAACCTTAAAATTAGACCAATAGTTTTTTTTAACTTTTATAGCACTCGTACCATTTCATAAATTTCAAAGTTTATTGGTTCACATCAATTTGTCTCCAAATTAATTATTTAATACACATTACAATTTTCTGCATAAGACTTTAGATTTCTGGTTCGTTGAAAAAACATTTGGATTCCATAAAATTGACATGCGTAGGTACCTTAGCATACAAAGCAGAGAGAAACATTTTTGGACATCATGCAAAATACAAAATGATAGAAACCTAACATGATTCTACGTGCTGCTAGATTTGCTTGATGACGGAGAGTGCTCAAATTGGGTGATTTGGAGATTTGATCGGATTTAGCTTAAGTTTTATGAGGTATTTAGGCACAAAATTATAAATAGATTAAATAATAATATTAATTAATAATTAAATGCATAATAATAATAATAATAATAAAAAACAGAAATCAGAGTGAAAACCACCTCTCTCTGTTTCTCTGTTAGCTAAAAACCCAACCAACCCCGGTCCACCTCACTCAGTCTAATCCAATCACATCTCGCCACATCACCCTCTCTCCATTCCTGTAAAGCCCCGACATACACATGCACACACAAACAAACACGCCACACCACATCACTCTCTCCCCTCATTCAGTCACTCCCGAAAGCACCAGAAAAACCCCCGCCACCCCCGCCTCCGTCGCCACCGCCACCGCTACTATCATGAAACCCTAATAAGGAGAGAGAATGCCTGTCAAAGTTGTAATTTTTTAAAGTTTTGCTAGGGCTAATGAGGGATTTGAGCTGAGGGTTTTACAGAGAGAGAGAGAGAGAGAGAGAGAGAGAGAGAGAAGAGAGAGATTTGATTGAGAAATGTATGTGGTGCCACCACCAAAGGGATCATCGGATACTGGATCCAATGGAGTCGGGTCGGGTGATTTACGGGTTTATCAAACTTGGAAAGGCAGTAACGTAAGTTACTTATTTATCGTTTTTCTTTTTCTGTGCTTTTAAAACCTTTTATTGATTGATTGATGCCAATATTGTGAAATTCTGTCCCACTGTTTCTGTTTCTTTTCAATGAGAATCTGAATCAGCCAAAAAAAAAAAAAAAAGGAGAAAAGAAGAAGCAAACTTTAGAGCTACTTTAATTTTATATGTAAAATTGAAAAAGTGTAACAAGTACTAGTGCTAGATGAATTAACGGTGACAGCAACAAAAACTCCAATTTCGATGAACCCCTTTTAGTAAAACATTGAGTGTACAGAATATCAGCTATATATGGCAAGATTGAACTCAATTTTTAGTTATTTGGCAATTAATTAAATGGAAAGAGATTGTTTAAGTCAATATTGTGTTGATAAGATTCAGCTCCTGAGAAGCAAATTGCACTTTTGGGAGTAGAACTGACAAGAAGTTGAAGAGATTGATGGGAAAAACTGGATGTGTTTTGATTTTGAAGATGGCAGCTTAAGTTTTAGGATTTTTTGAATGGGTGGTCTTTTGGCGGCCTAGTGGAAGTGCAGTTACTTTTTGTGTTTGATTAATATTTGTGATTCTCTTTTCTCTCTCTGTTATATCTGAAATTGAAATGACTGTGTTGGAATGCATGAACTTATTCTCCTGCATTCAAGGAATGCCCTATTGAGTATTTCTTCCGTTGCACACTATAAACCTATGCTACCTGCTTCTGAATTAGCAGAAATTTGACAATAAAAGCAGAATGAGAAGAAAAGAAAGATGAAATAGGAAAATTACATGCATAATTGGTTGTTTGACCAGGAGGTTTTAGTTGCTGAACAAGAACAAGAACTGGTTGAGTTATACAGTATGTGAGAGCTTCTTAACCCTGTTTCCAATTATAAATAGTGATATTGTGTTAGTGGAACTGTGGTTGATTGACCATGCGGCTAACGATGTGAAATTGAGATTGATGGACTGTAAGTGTAGTATTCAGCTTCCAAGGTGCTTGTGGTGAGACTTCAGTTGATCCTAAGACTTGGAGATGCTGGCATTGGCCATAATTGCATTCTTATTCTACGAATGCAAAATTTTCAATGTTTTTCCAAGGAACTTACTGGATTTATGCTCATCTGCAGATATTTTTTCTTCAAGGGAGGTTTATTTTTGGACCAGATGTAAGATCGCTTGCATTGACTATATTCCTGATAGTTGCTCCTGTAGCAGTGTTCTGTATCTTTGTTGCCAGCAAGCTGATGGATGATTTTTCTGATAATTGGGGAATATCAATAATGGCTGTTGCTGTTGTGTTCACTATTTATGTGAGCTCTCTCTCTCTCTCTCTCTACACACACACCCACACACACACACACGCAAGCACAAACAACACACGCACACATGCCCCCCACTCTCTCTCTAAGCACATTTATGTGTCTTTTACATGTTTAATTTACCCTGTTAATGTAAAACAGCAGCTTCAACAATATTTTTGTTGACCCTATATACTTCCCCAGATTATAGTAGCCAACTCTGGCATGTGGTTGATATATCTGAGAGCCAAGGTTGGGTATTGTTATATTGGTGCACTACCAGCGATTATTGGAGGGCCACCAACCAATATTCAAGCACAACTTAACCAGTCTTGTTCCTTAAAAAGGGTGGCAGGAGAAAAGGGGTTTAACGGTGGGGGTTCAAAAGGAAGGCATTTAGATTTGGTCATGCAGAAATTTGGAACATAAGTTAAATATACAGTAGGTGGTCTGTAGGCTGGATGGGATAGGAAAAACCGCTTAGTCATGTAGATGGGAGATAAGATGTGTGAGTTGTGGGAACTGATTATCGTAATTTGTATAGTAGGTTTAGTGGATGAATGTCTTCTGCAAAACATAATGCTTCAAGGGTGTGCATTCTTGAGGTCCTCTCGATTTTTTTAGCTGTTTAGAATAATGAGTTATTCAAAAGGGTTAAGTTTTTGGTGGTTTAATATGGCATTATGCCATTACCTGTCACCTTTTCATCAGTTTTGGCAGAGATAGTGGGTCGATGTGCTGTCTTACCATTCTCAAATCCTTTGGTACAATTTCATTGAATATCTAATAAATATCCTCATCTTGTCTCTACCCTAGTTTGTTGCCCCTTCTTACCATGTTGGCCTTGCTTGTACTGGATAGACTCTTGTTAGTGTTATGAATGATTATCTTACTTTTTGCAAGCAAATCCTTCAAATAGCATTCTAGTTATTGTTAATTAGCCAATCTCCACAAAGAGGATGTTTCATTTTGATGAAATATACACACATATAGATCATGTATTCTGTCACAGACACACACATGCTTTCTATGTACCTAAATATTATAGGTAAAAAATTGAAATAGATCATTGTAAGTGTTTTTCTTTATACTAGCTTGTTGCGTCACATGTGATGCACATGATACAGTGTTTTTAACATGTGAATCTTAATAAAATTAAATAAAATAAAGACAAGAAGTTTAATTTGATCTTCTTAATCTACTAGTTTCATTATTGTTTACCTATAATCATTTACTGAACAACATTAACAATAACAACTAGCTTTAGACAACAAATAATATAATAAATTAGATATTTATAATACCTTGGGTTGAGTTTGTGATTTGACGTTACATATGTAAATTATGCGAAATTTTTTTTCTTTTGAACAAAGGTGATTACAAAATGTTTAGCTTTAGGGAATCTGGAAAAGAAATTTTGAAACCAAATAAGAATGGGATATTGTTATGCATAAGATGAGTTTCCTGTAAAAGCTAATAAGCAAATGTATTTTCTTTCAAGATAAATGTTGCACTGGTTATGGTTCAAATCTTAAGAGGTGCCCAAAAGACTTTCTCTCAAACAACAAGAAACAAATCAAAAAGAGATTCAAAATATAAAAATAAATTGGAAGATATACAATACTAATGTGAAATAAAAATAATTTTTTTGTTGCAATTTGAGTGCAATATCTTTTTAGAGTTTGATGGGTCAAGGTTTAATTGCATGATTATATGTTCATGTAACTGAGGAAGTCTTTAATTATTATTTTTTTTAACTAAATGAGAATTGGATTACTGTTAGTAATAGAAATTTTTAGTGAATTAACAACGAATAAACATCTATGTCGCCATTAATAACCAAAAAAATCCAATTAGACTTATAAGTGAATTAAAAAAGAGTATTTACTGGGTTATACCAGAATTGCAAACCGATGATAATAATTCATTTTCAGGGTGTTCTGATTATACATAATTCATCGAATTTTAATGCATCGTTTTGTCTCTGCCAAAGCCTTATTACATTTTTTACTTTTTTATATCTTTTCAATATGTTAGGGTTCCCATGTAAGCTAGGGTTGTGTGCGATATGAAATGTAAATATATTTGGCCTTGTCTAGCAAAATACCATGTGAATGCCATGATTGGATAGTACCATGTTCTTACTTTTGGGGGATGTGCAGTTTTTATCTGCCATATTATTGTCTTTTTGCCTTTTTTTTTATTCATCTGCTACAACCAATGCATGTCGTACACTTGTGTAGCTCTTGTCATGCTTGGGAGGCACTTGTTGCCCTAATTTTGAGTATGGTGATGGCGTTGTAAAGGGCAATATTGTTCCTGTAGAGAGAGCTCTAAATCTGTCCTGAAATCTCTCTGCAATGTCTTTCATGGACATGATAGTGAAACTGTTTCTGTAATACTGAACATGAAGCTCATACATGTCTCTGATGTCTCAGGATTTAGTTCTTCTCCTGCTAACCTCTGGAAGGGATCCTGGCATAATTCCACGCAATGCACATCCACCAGAACCAGAAGGCTTTGATGGGAGTGCAGATGTTGGGTCTGGTCAAACTCCACAATTACGTCTACCACGCATTAAGGAGGTGGAATTCAACGGAATGACTGTGAAGGTTAAGTATTGTGATACTTGCATGCTTTACAGACCACCTCGCTGCTCGCATTGTTCAATATGCAATAACTGTGTTGAAAGATTTGACCATCACTGCCCGTGGGTTGGGCAGTGTATTGGCTTGGTGAGTGATCTTTCTTTTATAGTTGTGATACTGGAGCTGTGAAATGATCTTCAACATAAAATAGAAGAAAAATTATGTCTGGTTCTGTGGCATGTCAAATGGATAGGATAAGTAGTTACATTGCAGTGCATCTCTCCCCCTGATGCTGTTTCTGCTGAAGGGTGACAATTAGATGAACCCAAGTTTGAAGTTAGTTTCTGCTTTCTTTAACCAGGAGAATTCAACTTGATATGGACCTGTTAGTACGGTCTTGTTGATGCTATCTCAAACTTTGATGTGTTTGAACGCATGAGGTCACCATCTTTTATTGGTAATCTGAAAACTTAATGAAATGTCAATTTATTGATCTACATAGTTCATGCATATAAATTAGCAGATTCTGATGTCAAGTTTCTAGAATTAATATTTCTGAAGTTGCTGGTGTGGAAAATAGTTGGATTTTATTTGATGTCTTGTTAGTCTTTTTGATCCTCATCACTCCTTAAATTGATTGATATGCTTCTGGGTGCAGAGAAATTATCGATTCTTCTTCATGTTTGTCTTCTCAACGACCCTTCTTTGTATATATGTTTTTGCATTCTGCTGGGTCTACATTAGGAAGATCATGGGATCAGAGGACACATCAATTTGGAAAGCAATGATCAAAACCCCTGCCTCCATTGTTTTAATAGTTTACACCTTCATATCAATGTGGTTTGTCGGTGGCCTCACTGCCTTCCATTTGTATCTCATCAGCACAAATCAGGTGAGAGAACAAGGTTCCTTTTTTAATGACTTTTGTGGAGAAGTTCATTCTCTGTTGTTGTCAACTGTACACTTTCACTAATGTGCACCTTGCTTGTGCAGACTACTTATGAGAATTTCAGATATCGCTATGATAGGCGGGCTAATCCCTTCTATAAAGGAGTGGTGGAGAACTTCAAGGAGATCTTTTGCTCCAGTGTTCCCCCTTCAAAGAACCATTTTAGGGCAAAGGTGCCCATGGAACCGGCATTATCGACTCGAACACTTGGTGGGGGCTTCATGAGTCCAAATATGGGTAAATCTGTGGGTGACATAGAAATGGGTAGGAAAACAGTATGGGGAGACATGAATGCTATGGCTGGTGGCGAAGGACAACTTGCCAACAATGAACGGTTGAACATAAAAGATGGTGAACTAGGTGAATTGTCCCCAGATATCAGGACCACAGTAGATGAAGTTGGGGACCGTGGTGGATTACATCCTAGGCGATCAAGTTGGGGACGAAAAAGTGGAAGCTGGGAGATGTCACCTGAAGTTCTTGCTTTGGCAGCTAGAGTGGGGGAATCTAACCGTGTGGGTGGTGGGAGCAGCAGTGGCAGCTTGGCAACTGAGAACCGACAATCATAGTGGTGGATTTGACCTACATCCAACCCAGGAAATGGAAGGGGAACTGATTTGGTGAGTGCTGGAGGTGATTGCTGACTAAATGGTTGGTTATTCAACTTCCGAAATATATTTATGTGGAATATGGGGAAACTTTAGAGGAGGGGTGCTTGAATGCCTTCGTTGGTTTGACCATGGTGCTTTTAGGGTGTGGAATGGAATGGTGTGTTAGTATGCGTGAGCTATTTTCAGTTTTGATTCTTGTATTTTCTGGAATTAGTTAGTGTCTAATTTCATTTTGTTTGAGGAACCATGTTAGTGTCTTCCAATGATTCTTCCTCTCAATTAGGGAGACAATGATTTTGAGTGCCACTAGTCTCGTTCCTCATTTTGTTGCCGTGCATTAACGGTATGATGTTGATAGCCTTCAAATCCTTCAATTCCAATACACTGAAAGCCATCAGAATGGGAGATTAGGCATCAGTATGGCTTTGTATTGACACTCAAATCATCCACATTCCAGAGTTTTCCAGGCTTAACATGTGATGGATTGAATCGTAGAAGTCACGTAGGGAAGTTTCCATTGGTAAAAGGCTAAAAGCTCTGCTATTTCCCAACGAGCAATTTCCTCAGTAATGGTCATATAGAGTCGTAGGATAGCAGCTCTGCCATGTCCTCACAAGGATTCAAGTCAAACTTGTCCTTTGATTGAAATGAAATGTTCTTACTTGTAAGCAAATGAAAATGACAAAGTCAAGAAGTGCCTGAACTGAAAAGTCTGAATTTTGCTTTTTCCAGATCCATGAAAGCTGGCTTTTTTACATCTTAATTTCAGTGTTTCCTGGATGCTGCAAATTTAGTGAGTTACTCTCCATAAGCTGTACTGGGACTCGGTCTTTTACGAGGCTAAGAGACTAAGACTAAGACAAGCATAGAATAGCTCAGCTGACAGCACCATAACATTTTGGATTCCTGACAAACAAAGCTATCCACAATTATGACAATAGGTAGCAACTATGCATTATATCAGGTATTGTTCGGTTTGGATGCTGCTGGGATTTAGAAATTTTGAATGATTTGTCAAATTACTCGTCCTTGCCTTTGAGCAATTTCTATATTACCTTTTCCTTCTATTAATAATTGTCAAATTAGTCGTTTTGGCATCATGGACCGAACACATCTGGGTTTTGATGACCAGCAATTGGGCTTGGCCATCCATAGCTATGAGTTAGGAATTAGGGTTTAGGAAGATGGAGTAGTTAAGCTGTCCACAGCTTTGATCTTTCTTAGGCCAATTTCCATTTTTCGTCTCAACCTTACCTCAGGCTCACATAAGCCTAGCCTCATGCAAGATCCAGTAGGTAAAGAAGTTAAAAATGGTAATATCTGAAAGTCAAATGAAGGGAACTAGTCTAAAAGGAAGGACTGATTGTTTAGTCAAAACAAGTCCTTAGGGTGTTTATGGCAACAACGAACCTCAAACCTATCATTTTAATAGCTAGAGAAACCCAACCCAGGGAGTGTTTTGTAATTTGACCTAACCTACACAACACCTCAATGTCAGAATTACCCCTCTTTGAGAGTTGAAATTTAATTTTATATCTTTTTATATAGAAAATTTATTGTGCCTGTATTGGTGAGTTAAAACAGTCAGGTAAAATAGATGCTAGAAAAATATTAAAAAAAGACGAGAAGAAGAAAAGCAATTAAACTCTAGACTAAAAGCTGCAAGCTTTAAGCTTCATTTTGACATTTTCCACTGCCGCAGCCCATATCATTTTTCTTCTCTTTCTTCTTCTTCACATAAGACATCAATAGCAGCAAATAGCAACAACAAATGTTTTTGTCCTGAGCATATGCCAATGAAGAAGAAGTGAGAAATCAGGCCTAAGTAGGTGAGTTTGCTAATCTTGTCTTGGTTTTGAGTATTTTTGGCTCTTTAGATGATGGATTTTTCCCTATGTTGTCTCTATGTTGTTTTTTTTTTTTTTTTTTTGTCACTTACTAGCTTTTGTTTTGACTGGAACGATGGAGATACATATGCAAGTAGAGGTTTGATTAATGTGTGTATTGTGCGGTTCTTTTCTGCATAGATATGTTTAAGAACCAGCTGCAAGAACTTGCACAAAGAAGTTGTTTCAACCTCCCTTCTTATGCTTGCATTAGAGAAGGACCTGATCATGCTCCAAGATTCAAAGCTTCTGTGAACTTTAATGGGGAGATCTTTGAAAGTCCAAGCTACTGCACTACATTAAGACAGGCAGAGCATGCAGCTGCTGAGATTGCCCTTAATGTTTTGTCTTCAAGGGGTCCTTCAAGGTCTCTAACAGCAAGAGTTCTTGTAAGTTCCTTTTGTCAAAATCCCTCTTTTTTGCTTTGTTATAGCTAGTTTTCTTGATTGCTTAAGGGGATTAAAGGATGGATACCCACTTTATCTTCAATTTGACAAGTTTAGAGTCTAATCTTAAATTGTTTCTTTCTGGGAATCTAATGAAGGATGAGACTGGAATTTACAAGAACCTACTTCAAGAAACTGCCCATAGAGCTGGGCTTAACCTCCCTGTATATACCACTGTAAGATCAGGTCCTGGTCATGTCCCAATTTTCACTTGTACTGTGGAGCTTGCTGGTATGAATTTCACAGGTGAGCCAGCAAAGACAAAGAAGCAAGCTGAGAAGAATGCTGCTATTGCAGCCTGGTCTGCTTTGAAAAGATGTAAAATTTAATCCCCCATTTCTTGTTACTTCTCATATTAATTATATTACTTGCATTTTTTGTGTACTCAATGTATATTTTTGTGCAGTTCCAAACTTGGATTCCTTGAGTAGTAAAGAAGTAGGCACTCGTGAAGAACAAGATCAAGCTGTTGTGGCAAAGGTATTGTCAAATTTCAGATCCAAAGATGATGGTAAATATGCAAGAAAGAGGGATCATAACCAAGCAAGAAGAAGAATGGTTAGGGGACACAGAGACAGTATCTGTGCATCATCTTCCTCCGCCTCAAATAACTCTCTACAGTATCCACATTGGAGGCTTCTGGATCTTATCTTGGATTCTACCTTAGATGGTTCAACAAAAATGCAAAAGTCCTCCTTTATGTCTCTCCTTCCTCCACCCCCACCTAGGACAACTTCAAAGATTTTGCCACCAACCTCACATACAGACAATCAATCTCTCTACACATCAAATAGGCCTATTCCAATACAAATTTGGGGAAAATCACAAGTTAAAGCACCTGAGATTCCAGTTCCACTTGAAGAGCATTTAAAGGATGAAGAAGAATGGTTAGGTATTAAATCAGATGTCATCAAGAAACCTGTTGAGAAGGAGAATGCAAGCAGTTCAAGTTCTAGTCCTTATGGTTCAAGTTCTATTTACAGGCCCTTTCCTTTCTCCAATACTGGGAAGCCAGTCACTTCCTTGCTTGATAGCACTGGCCAGAATGAATCAACCCACATCAGTGGCAGAATTTTTGGGTCTACAAATCTATCTCCAATGGCATCAACTTCCATCAATACACCCTCAAATACCCATATTCCAAGACCTATGTTCACTGGTGGGTTTAACCCTCACAGGATTGCACCAGCTGTTCAAATAAGGTCAGTGATTCCAGTTTGTGCAGCACCACCACCGCCAATCAGACCCCCACAAGCATCATCAGCTACAAGTGCTCCTTCTTCTACCACTACTGGAGTAGCTGAGGTATCAATGCTCAACAAGACAGAGTCAAATCAAACTCAACTGAGTTCTACTGAGTTCAAAAACAAGCTACAATTATGAAGCAGTAAAAAAGTGAAGGAAGATGAGTCAAATCTTGTTTAAACCCCATAATTAAGCATGCCTTGCAAGTTACGACTTGATGGGGTTGGTTGTTAAACAAAATTAGTCCTTTTTGGCCTTTCAAAAACAAGCCATGGTTTTGTCTCATGGGGTCTAAAGCTTAAATTTTGCACAAATACTCCTAGCTAGATTATATAATACTCCTACAAAGTCCACTGTTCTCCACCTTACATTTACTGCAGCGAGAGAGAGAGAGAGAGAGAGAGAGAGGGAGCATTAAATGTGATCTGGGATAGTGGGTTGCAGGAGATAAGAAAGAGAGAGGGCGAAGGGGGCAGATGGGGGTAGCAATGAAAGCAGACTGAGGGAGGACCAAACAGACAATTGCAGCGATAAACGCAAGCAATTAATTTACCCTTTCAGTCTCAGACCAAAATTTATGAGTCTTGTCTTCTCCATTAATGCCTTCATCTTCTTCTCCTCTTATTTATTGTTAGTCATTTACTTCCACATTGTTTATAATATTTCTTTTGTTGTTTTACTTCCCTTTTTATATTGTTTTCATCCTCCATTATTGACTGTGAACTCTGTACATTGGTAACTGAGAAATGTTCCTAGGGGGCTGGGAGTTTTGAGTTTTCAAATGTGAAGTGTCCGTTACGTTTTGGGTGCATCTTGGGCATTCCATGTTTAAAACAAGGGTAAATTTGCACAATGAATATGATACCCAACCATTTATTTTACCTATAGTTTTAACTAACGATCGTAATGTTATCTAACAGTTGTTAGATAACAACTGTAGAATATCTTGTCACCGGTATTGTAGTATTATAATAAGTGATGATTTGTAATGATGATCTTAATCGTTTTTTCAATCCTTTGTTATTTAAAACTATGATTTTTCAATCCTTTGTTATTTAAAACTATGATTTTACCCTTCTCCTTGGGTTTGGACTGTGGCCCTGTTTAAGAAGGTTTGACTTTCAGCAAATTTAGTCATTTTGTGAATCGAGACATAGCTAGCTAGTCATGGTCCCATTGTAATGCATATGGAGACTGCTTCTGCTTGCCGTAGTTTAGGAACAAGTGACAAGGTGGAGCCCTACTTGGCCGAACAGGTTGGTCAATTCGATAATTCTGCGTAATAAGCTATGTCAGTGCAGGCACATGCCGATTAATGGTTAGTTTTGAGGTCCTACCTGCTTCTGTGGCTAATAAAATGCATGCATGAATACAATAAGCACATTTTCTGGTTCGCGGAGTCACATTTTAGACAAGACTGATGCCCTGTAGAATGGATCAGATCAATCCCATTTGCAGCAAGCCTCTCGTCCCTGTGGGTGGCTGCTCCCAGAGAATCAGTCGATCTACCTGGTTGGAATCTATTTTAGCCAAGTTGGTATGCAAAAAGGTTCCGAGATTTTGTCCAATGTCATTGATGAAAACAATCCAAAAAATCCAATGAATTATAACCAATTGATTAGAAGAAGTTCTTATATGATTGCTAGTAGGATCGGGAAAGATTAAGCGCAAACAAAATAAGCAGTGGCGTTCTTAGAAGTATCAAGATTCTTTTTCCTGAACTGCTTCTATCGGGGATAAATTCAACAAGTTATAAAATAGAAATAAAAAAGAGATGGAAGTACCCCATTTTCTTGTTACTAAACTTCTTTTTTGTGTACTTGTATTTTGAGCAGTCTATCTCCTAGAGAATCTTAGGCAAAATGCGTACACCTTGGACCTCAGAAAAAATGGATCTGAGTATCCGATGAATCATCTGAACTCGTAGCTGAGAGAATGCCTTGTGCGATTGCCCAAAATCATGCAGGCGTTGATGAAAGATGCATATTTTTTTGGACAAAAAATACATCTGCAGAAAACTAAAGATGGCAGAAAGTACTGCACAGAATGCAGCACTTTAAAATGTTCAACAGCCACATAAAGGTACAGTAATTATGAATTATTACCTCTCGTTTTAAAAAATAAATTAATTTATCTTCTTATTTTAAAAGCTAATTTATGTTTTTAAATTTATTTTGTAATTTAAGCTTTCTCACTTTCTCAATTTTACTTTGATTTTATGTTTTAAGAAAATAGAAAAAGAACAAACTATATAAAAAATATAAAATGATTGATAAGAAAAAAATGTAATTTTTAAAAATAAATTATATTAATATAAACGTGATTAAAACTAATCAATAGATTAAATAATTAATTTTTTAAATTTAACGGACTAATTAATTCATTTTTCGAAGAGGGATTAATTTATAATTTGCTCCATAAAGGTCAGACAACTTTTTCACTAGAAGAAAGCAAAAGAAAATCTAATTTAAATTAACACTGATTCTGAACAGTTGAAAAGTGACTTTCTCTTTCTTTCTTTTTTTTTAAAAAAACTTTGTACAAAGTTTTATATCGTCATCATTGGACAGGTGGTTTTATTACAAAATTACAAACTCAAATGGCAGTACAGTACATCCTCGAGAATCTTTCATTTCGAACTTGTTGAGAATCTCTCTTGTCTTTAACATGTATCCAATAGTTTTGAGATGACAATATTCGTGTGTTGTCATACATGAACAGCTATCCGATGAGGTTATGAATAATAAAATAGTATGAGATGGTAATGTGACTTTTTTTACGGCTGGAGGGACCACGGTGATTGCCAAGTAGGTGATGATCCAATAGTATGATATCTCTACAAAAACAAATTCTCTTAATAAGTTAAAAGGACCCTTCCATGAGTGAGTAGGGGCGTGTAAGGTAATCATGCAGTTTTTCATTTCGTTTTTTTATTTTTATTTTTTTCAGTTTTTGATTAATTGAATTAAATAAAACAAAAATAAAATCAAACCGAGGTTCGGTTTTTCAGTTAAAAAGCCAAAAAAAAATTTATTATTATTATTATTATTATTTCATATTTTTTGATTTTTGATTTTTCTCTTGAACCAAATTGAAAGGCCGCTTTTTTTGTAATTTTTTTTTTCTGATTTTCAAATAATGCTAATAGCTTAAACTGAAGTTTTAGTAAAGAAAATCATAGAAAAATGCTATGAACCTTAGGTGTGTGTGTTAAAAAAAATATCAATTCAGTTTTTTATGAAAACCAAATTTTTTAAAAAAATGAACCGAACTAAAATAATTTTTGTTTTCGATTTCGGTTTTTTGTTTTCAAATTTTTTATACAAAACCGAATCGAAATTACTACATTCGATTTCAATTCGATTCGATTTTTCAATCTTAATCGAATAGTACTCACTCCTAGGTATGTGGACAGAGAAAGTAGCCAAATAAGGCAGTTATGTAGATATGCATGTAAATAAAACACAATAAATAATATTTGTAGGGTTGAGAGACCAAAATACTTAACCTCTGATCTTTTGGTTCTGTATATAATCGAAGGCTTGATAAGTTGCATGGAGAGGAGGATAGGATAGTATATTTTGTTAGTACCAATGGTTTTTGACATTATACATAAAACTAAAGTAAAATCATTGGTTTTACTATTCATTCACTATTTGAAATACTATTTACACGCTCACAAATCACTATTCCTTTCACTATTCATGACATTTTTGTAACACTTTGGTCCTCAAATTTTTTATACCTTTTTTTTTTAATTTCAAACTCTAATTGTATTGTGATTTGATCCCATTTTTTAAAAAGTTTCTTTATTAATTATTTTTATTATTTAAGATTATACATAAAACTAAAGTAAAACCATTGGTTTTACTATTCATTCACTATTTGAAATACTATTTACACACTCACAAATCACTATTCCTTTCACTATTCGTGGCATTTTTGTAACACTTTAGTCTTCAAATTTTTTATATCTTTTTTTTTCAATTTCAAACTTTAATTGTATTGTGATTTAGTCCCTTTTTAAAAAGTTTTTTTATTAATTATTTTTATTATTTAAGATTTAATACTTTAATTTGTCATTTTTTTTAATATAGTCATATGTTATTAATATTATGATCATATTATAATAATATTATTTTTCTACACTAAGCATTTACTATTTAGTTATTTATTTTTGAATTAAATAATTACAATAACGTTTTAGCGTAACCACTCAATGATTCAAATTAATATAATTTTTTTATTTTAATATTATTCATTCTTTTGTAAATAAATATATAAAAATTAAATTTATATTTTTTAAAAAACCGATATTCTCCTCGAAATTAAATAAAAAAATTTATTTGTTCAATTCAAAGTAAGCTTTTAATAATTGTTTATTTTTTTTTTTTGACATAATCTTATGAAATACTAAAGCTTTTTTAAAAAAAATTATTTAATTTTCTTTTTAGTTAATAATCCATGGATTAACAAGGATAAATCCTTTTTTCTAAAGGAAAAGTTATGAAAAACACAAATAAGAAATAGTTAAATACAAAATTTTTTATTATAAAATTATAAATAATTTTCTTCATCTTTAATTTCATATATTTTTATAAATTTACACTATAAAACAGACTATCAAACCGAAATGATTTCTCCAAATCCACGTAGCTTAGCACGGGCAAAAAAACTCAAATGAGAAATAATTAAATACAAAATTTTTTATTAAAAAATTATTAATATATATTTTTTTGATTTCATATATTTTTATAGATTTACATCATAAAATAGACTATCAAACTAAAATGATTTTTCTAAATAATTTTATATATTTTATCTAATCCGTAACATAGCGCGAGGGGAAAAACTAATAAACTCTAGAGACAAATACCGTTGATGTAGACATGTCACTCTTAGGCAATTGAAATGATATCATGATCAGTGTTTCTTAATTTCCACCTCCACCTTTCGACCAACTTCTCCTTCTCTTGAGCTTTTGGGCACCCTTGCTTCTCCTTCACCAAATTAATTTTGCTTCTAGTGTTTTAGTGTTTAATTTGCCTAATTTTTGCCAAACCTAGCTTGGTTAATCCTTCCCTTATTTATAGCCATTTTGCCGACCTAATTTTTTTAATCTCACCCCTCCCTTATTT